TTGGATGCAGTGTGCTCTAGTAATTCCTGTTCAGTGTCACTAATGGAAAGAGCTCTGGTGGCGCCGTGCCTGAGGCATTTGACTGCTAACCTGAAGGCTGGCGGTTCAAACCCACCAGCCGCTCCTCAGAAGAAAGACTGGGCAGTCTGCCCAAGGAGGGGTCGCTATGAGTTGGCATTGACTCGACGGCAATGAGTTTGTTTTGTTTGTTTGTTACTAACAGAAGCAATGAGAATAAAGGTTCAGTGCACCATATAGCGTGCTCTTCATGGAAGTCCTTGAAAGCCTTTGGAAACAGTGACACAAAGTATTTACAGACCCATCACCTGCCGAGGTAAAGTCCGAATGTGTTTCCATCAAGTGGTCCTGTGGCCGAGGCCAGCTTCTTGAGGAACACAGTAACGCTGCATGTCTACACCCTCCTGGGGCTTCGTTATAATGGAAGCACGTTTACCGTGGTGTGAATTCCACTCACGGGCTATTTAGTTGTGTGGGCCTCAGTATTTGCTGTTTCAAGTGTAAGCACAGAAAAGTGCTAACTCGCAGGACAGTCTTTAACAGGCAGTTTTGGCTGCCTCTGGATGTATTTTGGTAAGTCTCGCACGTGGCTGGGGGAATTTGGGAAGAATCTAAGATGTCCAGGATCATGGAAACACGCTGTGAATGAATACCAGCCGTCTGGGTGCGAGTGAACATTAGGGGTGTCAAGTTTTAATTTAGAAAACGGTTTTTAGTGTGACCAGAGTGGGCCAAGACATCTGGGAGCGCCCCCTCCACAGGTCACGCTGCCTGCAGCCTGGCCCACTGTCCTTCGTGACGCCTCCTGAGACTCTCTGCGGTAAGCTGTGCCTGATGGCCGTTTTGAGTGCTGCCCTCTGTTGGTCAGTATCCACTCACAGTTCGCAAACCAAGGGTCAGCCGAGGGTCAGTCGGCCAGAAGAGGACGTGTCTGTAAGTCCATGGCAGAAGGGAGTCGTCTGGGGGACCAACCCGACCTTTGTGCTCCCTTGTAGGCAGGTCGCCCCCCTGGTCCCTCTCATGCCCACCTCTGACAGCACCTAACAACAACAAATAACATGTTCATTTGCAAATTAAGTAATGTGGTCGGGAAGGACATCTCCCACTTCCAGGTGTTCGCGTGGAGGACAGTGAACTTAGGTTCCGGCTGGGTTAAAATACACCTGATCACACTTTGCTTTCAGCCGAATGCTTGGAGGTGGGTTGGGATTTAAAAGTTACAGGATGAGAAGTGCTGAAGCGCAGAGATGGAAGCATTTCACAGTTCTGTGTGTCATCGGAAGTGACTCCGTGTGGCCTTGTGTCTGTCCCCCAGGGATCTGAGCAGATGGCGGCGTCTTCTGCGTGACCACTTAGCCCCCACCGGCCTCTGGCAGTGAGCCTCACGGTGTGCAGGCCCGTGTCTCTGCCATGAGCCTGGAGTTTTCTTACGGTTCTGGGGTTTAGACTTGTGTAATGGCTACCTGAGCTGGGCAGAGGGAGGGCGTTACAGCATGTGGGGCTGTAGCCCAGAGACGCAGAGCCCCTTCTGGAAACTGGTGAACAGTGAAGACACGAATGGGACCCCAGGAAAGCCTCACAGCTCAGGGTCTGGGACCATTTCCCTCTTCCTGGCTGTCTTCTAGAAGTCCTGAGGAACTCACAGGAACTTGGTGGTGACCTCTTCCAGTGCGGGCTCCTCTGTAGTTACCTTCTTGAAGAGTCTCGCTGGCACCTGTCTCCAGGCTAACAGGGACTTCCTCTCAGCCTCCGTCATCCACCCTGCTCTGCTACCCTGGGTCTTTGATTTGCTGCTGTTGTTGTTAGGTGCCCTCTGATTCGTAGTGACCCCATGTCCAACAGAAGGAAACGCTGCCCGGCCCTGCGCCAGCCTCACGGTCCTAGCTATACCTGAGCCCATCATTGCAGCCACTGTGCCAGTCAGTCTCATTGAGGGCCTTCCCCTTTTTCGATGACCCTCCACTTTACCAAGCATGATACCCTTCTCCAGGGACTGGTCCCTTCTGACAACATGACCAAAGCAGGGGACATGAAGTCTGGCCCTTCTCGCTTGCAAAGAGCATTCCGGCTGCACTTCTTCCAGGACAGATTTGTTCGTTCCTCTGGCAGTCCATGGGACTTTCAGCCTTCTTCACCAACACCACAACTCAAAAGGATCAACCCTTCTTCAGTCTTCCTTATTCATTGTCCAGCTCTCCCATGCGTATTGGGCAATTGAAAATACCATGGCGTGAGTTAGACACACCTTAGTCTTCAAAGAGACCTCTTGTTCTTTAGCAATTTAAAGAGGTCTCTTGCAGCAGATTTGCCCAGTGCAGTACATTGTCTGATTTCTCGACTGCTACTCCCTTGGTGTTGATGATGGAACCCAGGAATATGAAGTCTTTGACAGCTTCACTCTTCTCTCCATTTATCATGATGCTGCTCATTGGTCCAGTTGTGAGGATTTCCACATCTCTGGGTTGAGGTGTAACATCATACAGCACGCAGGATAATGGCATCAGGTCACAGAAGGGAGCATAATTACATAACACTGAGAGTCCTGGCCTGGCCAAGGTGACACGTTTCGGGAGGACACAGTTCAGTCTGAATGAGGCAGCTTCCCAGAATGCATGTGTTGGTGCTGGGGAATGGCTCCCGCCCCCAGCCCTGCATGTAGCCCCTGCAGTAGAAGCGCCTGGAGGCCAGGGTCTGTACTCTGCCCTCCCTGCCTGGCAGGAGGAAGCTGAAACCCCGGGCCCCTGACTGCACGGGTGCTGAAAAGGGGGGCTGAGGTGCCAGGGACTTGGGGTGACCTTCAGATTTCTGAGATTGGCGCCCACGTGGGCTGGGGACAGTGGCGACCTCTGCTGCACGGCTGTCAGGAAGCGGCTTCCTGGGGCTGCCAGAGGGACACAGGGTGGGACTCCCCTTCCGGGGGGACCCGGGGACGCCTTTGGAGCTTAGTTCTCTAGTGCTGCTAGGACAGAAATACCGCAAATGGGTGGCTTCAACACAGAACTTTACCATGGTTGAGGAGGCTGCCAGTCGGAATTCAGGGTGCTGGCTCTAGATGTGGGGCTCTCTCGCTCGGCTCCGGAGGAAGTTCCTTGGCTCTGAGCGCCTGCTCCTGGGCCCTCTCCACGTGGCTTGGCATCGCCCGGCCCGCTCTGCTTCTCTCGCTCACTCCTTTCATCTGACTCAAGACACACCCTGCACTAACCCTGCCCCATTAACGCAGCAGGAAAACGCATTCTAACCACAGGCACAGAGGCCAGGGCTGCTGGCACATACTTTCTGGGGACACGGTGCCATCCGTAATGGGTGGGCTCTCTTTAGTGTCACGGGCAGCCCCACCAGGTGAGGGCTGAAGGGTGGGGTTGCTGGATACTATGTGGACCTCAAGGTGAGAGGGTGCCATTCCCATGTAGGCTGGGGGCAGGCTGGGCGTGGGATCGGGGGTGACCTGGGGGGCAGGCTGGGGCCTGGGCTCGGGGGCAGGCTGGCCCAGCCATGGAAAACTGAAGCTGTATGTCTGTGTTTTCACTGCCTCTCGTGGAGGATGTGTGGGGCCTTGTGGTGTAAGTCTCTGGTCTTGAAGCAGCAGCCCAATGCGTCTTCCTTAGCCACCATCCCCTCGGGGCCCGCTGCTTGGGGGTGGCCCAGGACTTAGGAAGCAGGGCTCTATGTGTGGCCACAGTGCAGGGTGCAGACACCTGTTGGCTTCCTCCCGCCCGCGTCCTCGGTCAGCCTTCCCCTGTGATGCCCTGTCTCACCGCGCTGCAGAAACGGGCTGGAGTGCACTCCCGCGCTCAGGCCACTCAGGGAGCCCCCCAAGGTGGGGCCTGGGATACGAGCCCCCTGGGGCCAGCAGGAAGGCCTGCTGGGACGAGGCCCGGGTGGTGTTGCAGGCATACCCCCTGCTCAGGGCGAGGGTCTCAGGCCTTCATCGGTGCCCTCTCCGTCTGCCATGAGCCTCTCTCAGTAGCTATGACCTGTGCCTGGATGGGGACCCCCTACCTCAGCCCATCTCTGCAGGGCTGCCTGCTGCCCGACTCCTGCCGCCCAAGCCCTAGGGCCCCCTCCACAGCCTGGCTCCCTTAGGCTCCTGCCCTGGGCCCTGGAGGTGTCCTTCCCCTCTGAGCTGCTGGGTGCACGGGCTCTGGGCTGGTGTCTTTGCCACCATCCTTCCAGACAGCCCACCTGCGATTTCCACTGGGGACTGGGGGGGCTCTTCCTGATGGTGTGTGTCAGGACCCCGGCTGCCCTCCTCCCTGGACAGCATCTGCACCACCCCACATCTGGTAGCCGGCTCCTCGCCCCTCCACCGCCCCGCCCAGCCCAGCCCAGCAGCCCCCTTCCTTGGACATGCCTCCACTGCGATGGCCACATTCCACCATGTCCCTCGGGCGGGCAGCGTGGTGTGTGGGCTGTGGCCTTCGCTGGCACTGGTTGGCTGGACCACCTTGGGGTGGTGCACCATCTCTCTGGGCCCCAACTTGGCCTCTGTAGGGGAGGTGACGGGGGTGAGCCAGGGGCATGGGAAGAGTCCGGGCCAGAGCTGGCACAGCCCACTCCCCGCGCCCGGCGTGGGGGGCCAGGCAAGTGGACACTGAGTGCCCTCTCTTCAGAGCAGGCGGCCCTGACTGCGCTCTGCCCGTGGTGGCCGCCCTGGGGACTGGGTGTGGCCCACAGAGCGCTGGGATCCTGGCTGGTCCTGGAGTCTGAACAGAGCTTTTCAGTGAGGAAGTTGCTAAGCCTGTGATGTCAAATGTGCTGGGATTTGTTTTCGCAAATGAAAGCGGTGGCGCTGGCGTTCCCCAGCTGGGCGGGGCCCTGGAGGCGGACAGCCGCTTGACTCAGGAGGTGTCTGGCTCTGTTCAGACACCTGCCCTCGGTGCGGGCTCAGGAACCTCCCCCGAAGCTTCCAGAGGCCGGACGTGCTTGCTCCGGAGTCTGCCATGAGGCCTCATTAACTCATGTCTTTCTCTCTTTTCTTTCAGTCTGCGACTGTGTCTGATGGTGGTAAGTCACAATTTCTGATGTCCCTTTCTATTATGTTTTGTGAAGTTTGGATGTGAAAGTGTTTGCCACTTGACTCACTGCAGAAGGGCGCTGGCCTGGCCGCGCGCCTTCCGGGGGGCTGTCGGCGGCTCCGGGGGGCCGTGGCGCGTGTGCACAGCCGCTGGCCGGGGAAAGCTGTCAGGGACCGGACCACTGACCGGGCCACTGGGACATCTGCGGCCACTTCACCAGCGTCGGTGCCGTTCCTTGGCTTGAGCTGTGGTCTCTCACCTCTCGTACCTGCGTGTGACAAGTTCAGACAGGTTTCCGCTGCCCTGTGCTCGTACAACCAGCTCGTAACCAGCACGTTGCGAGTGAGCACAGGGCCCTTCCTGGATCTGAGCAGTTCTGGAAATTCCGGTGAGGCGTCTGTAGCCGAGCGTCCTTTCCTGAGGAAGATCCAGGAGGTGGACTCGAGTTTGGGGATGAGCGCCACAGAGGGGACTCTTCAATGGGACTTAGCCAAAAGGGGGCCGCCGGAGACGTCTCCTGTCACTTAGGGGTTCTGTGGCACACCCTGGTCACTGCACCTCGGGACTATTTCTTTTTAAACAAGGCAAGCGTTTCCTCTAAATGCCCCATTTGTTACCATGCTCAGCAAAGCTGCTGTGCTCAGAAGTTGTGTTTCTACATGTCTGCGTGTTTGTAACCGACTCTCCTGTCCTTGAGGCTGGAAGCCCGTGGTCACCCAGGGTGTGGTGCTGTATTTTCATGGAGGTGGCTGGGGGGGTCAAAGTCAAGACCATGGAAGCGAAAGACGCCGGGGCAGGGAGGGGACACGGGGTGGCCTCGCAGGTCGTATGTTGAAGAGAATCGCGGTGGAGTCTTCCGGAACTTCTGTGCCTCTACTGTTGACTGCGCTCGTTGGCCTTAGACAGCTCAGCCCCCTGCGAGGCCAGCCCTCTCTGGCTCCCCACGTGGGAAGCAGGAGCCACGGCTCGCGTTACACTCGGGCTGATCTCCGGAGCTGGACCCAGGCACCTCCAGCCTGTGGGCTTGGGCTTTTTCTTTTGTATAAAAGGAATTATGTTACCTGTTTTATGTGCAACGATGATCATGTTATTGAATCAGCTTAATCCGGGAGTGGGAAAATGTCCCTTGACAGCAAGCCCCAGGCGGTGGCCAGGGCCAGGAGGCTCCGGAGCGCGTGGTTCCCCGGAGGGCCTGGCCTGGGCTGCTCCCACCCAGCTCCCACTGGCCTGGCCCTGCTGGAAGATGTGCGTTTCTGAGGGATGTTTCTAACCGTGAGCAGGTTCTGATATGCTCAGTTTCATCATGATTGGTAATATATATCTGTCCAGGCTGTCCCTGGTCAGCAGGAGCTGTAGGAACTGCAGGGAGTTTTATTATATAGGCCACTTGGTAATTTTTTTTTAAAAGCTGAGTGTAGGTAGCCCCTGAATCACACTCATCTGCCCCGACTCGTGCCCCCCACTCGTCCCTCAGTTGCCCCTGCTGTGTCCTTGGTGGTGGTACCTCTTCTCTCTCCGGGCAGAGACCCTGCGCAGCAGGCGAGGGAGGGACATTGTCTGCACGCGGGAGACGTCCAGGCAGTGGCCACTTGGTTCCCTCCTTTTCCACACTGTCTTTCTCCACCTGATCCTCAGGGTGGAACAGGAACAAGTGAGCCCCTTCACCTGCCGGCCCAGTCTGGGAGGCCACGTTATGTTCAGCTGTTCATGGAGGGACTCTAAGTGATGCCCCCCTGGGCCCGTGCCTCTCAGGCCCCTTTACTTGGGTTCCGCTCCCCTGGGGCCTCTCTGATTTCCAGAGCCTCGGCCCTGTCTTCTGACTCCCTCTCCCCTGGAACGTGCTGGGCTCCTCCTGCCGGAGCTGAGAGGGGACCCCACACGTGGCCATCTCCGCAGCAGGGGACAGCGCTGTCAGAGCATCTGGGCGGAAACTGGGACTGTGCTTCCACGGAGAGCTGGGTTCATGTCTGTGGTCAGCCCCCCAAGGCGTAGGGCTCCTCACTGCCTGGCCTGGGAACGCCACTCCACAGCAGTTCTGTGGGAAAAATGCTCTGTGCCTTCCCAGTAGCAAGTTAGAAGCCAGCTGCGGGGAGTAGGCCGTCCCCAGATGGGGGACGGTCCCTCGTCTCCGGACTGGCCTTGGTAGCTGGTCAGTGGGGGACTCCACCCACATAAAGCTTGTATGCGAGTGCGCGCTCGGTGAGGCCACAGGGACCCGTCGAGCTCTTGTCTCCCACGGCACGTGGCCATTTTATGTGCCTGTCGTCTGGTTCCCGCTCACAGCGACCCCACACGCAGCAGAAGGAAACAGTGCCCGGTCCCGCGCCGGCCTCCCAATCCCGGCCGCGCCCAGGCCCGTCGCTGCAGCACTCTGTCAGCCCCTCTTGCTGAGGGGCCTTCCCTTTTCCCGCTGACCCTCCACTTTACCCAGCGTGGCGTGGCCGGTCCCTCCCAATAGCGCGTCCCAAGTCCAAGATGCAGTCTGGCCCCTCTTGCTTCTGAGGACCCCCTGGCTGCGCTTCCTCCAAGGGCTGTGCATACATGTGTGCACACACGTGTACCATGGCTCACAGGTGCACAGAGCCAAGTTTTGTGGCTTTGTTTTGAGGAAGTTGTTGGACAGCTGTGTTTGACATTTTTGTCAACTTGTGGTGTGCTTTTTGACTTTCTCAGAAGGAAGGGCCCTTAGTGACCACCCCCCCAGAGTGGCTCGTGAGGAAGGAGAGTGAGAGGCCAGCCCAGGAGGGCCAGACCGGCCCGGGCGGGGCAACAGGGGCAGATTCTGGCTCAGGAAAGGGAAGTGCTGAGAGGCGCCAAGGAGGGGTCTGCTTGTGGGACCCAGTCGTACATTTATGTGGCAGCAGCCTGGGGCCGGCCTGCGGAAGGAGCTGGCGGCTCCGAGCTCCCGGCTGCTGATGGACGAGGGGGCCTGCGGTGCTTGAGCTCAGCACGGTGCGGCCCACTGTGAACGTCGTGTGTTTTCATGTGCAGGCTCCCATTCTGTCTGTGTACCCAGCAGCTCTGCAGGGGCCCCCAGCCCACCCTCTCCCACAGCCCCAGGCTACCATGTTTGGGGCCAGTCTTGAGGTGTGGACTGTGGTCACAGGGCTAGTCAGTGTGTCACCGCAGCCCGTCCACATACTGGGTCCACTTTGGCTGCTTTGTGAACACCCAGACTTAACGTGTCCAGCTCTTGGGTCCCTCCCACGGCCGTCCCGTCCCCTGTAAAGGCACAGCCAGCTCCCCTTCTGGTGGCAGAAGCCTGGTAGCTCTCGCATCGAGGTGCCTGCCCCGTCCCTCGCAGCCCCCGCACTTGTACCTTTCCCACCTCTGCTGGCCCTGCCACGTGACCACCTTTGTTTTCAATACCTGCCCCTGCAGCTTGTCCCCAGAGAGGGCGCCACCGCAGCCATCCACTCAGAGCACAGCCATCACTCTGCTGCCTGCTCAGAGCCATCTGGGGGTTCTGTGTCCCTGGGAGCTCTGGTGGCCTAGTGCCTAAGGCGTTTGACTGCTAACCAGAAGGCTGGCAGTTCAAACCCACCACGCACTCCTCGCAAGGAAGACTGGCCAATCTACTTCCGTAGAGATACCGCCTGGGAAACCCAAGGAGGGGTTGCCGTGAGTCGGATCGACTCGACGGGAGTGAGGGAACAAGCCACGTGCTGTCTCACAGCCGACCATGCCCAGCCGGCCTCGTCTGGTGCACCCCGCTTGCCCCGTGCTCCCTGCCTGGTCTCCAGGGTTCTCAGACACTCGAGGGGCGTGTGCTGGGCCTCGCCCGGCGCGGTGTCTGCTCCCCACGACTGGCCCCTAGTGCAGGTGTGCCCTTTCCGCTCTGAGGGAATTGACCTGTTTACTTTTGGGGAAAAAAACAAACTGTTAGGAAACTCAGGCCTTAAAAACCGTGCAAGTAACGCGCGTGCTGCAGACGGGGCTCCCCTGGGGGCCGCTCCGGGTCGGGCGCTCGGGCCGGGCCGCGTACGGAGATGTGTTCCCTCGTGAGCCTCCGCTGAGCGGCACGCTTGCTGCCTGCGCGCCTGGTGAGGGTTATGCTTTCGTAGTTCACTGGAGGGGGAATGCTTTAGACGCTGGAAACCTTCCCCCTTCAGAACAGACTTTCAGAATGGTCTGCAAACCTTATAAATGCAAGTTCAGGAGAATGCGGACGAAGCTGCTCACAGCCAGCCTTGTCTTGGTTGGTAAAATATCTGACCAGCCATGGTATATACGGACTGGATCCTTGTGCAAATTAGACACGGCCGCCTCTTCCCCTCCACGCTGGGGGGCTGTAAGAAGATGTCCCCTCGCGGACCACTGAAAGAGAGCTTTCAAGATAGGGTTCTCTTTCTCGTGGGATTTCGGCAATGTGGTGATGGGGGGTCGTGGGTCAGTTTAGTTCATATACGTGCAGGTTGGAGTTTGCTGAGGGCACCCCCCACTCACTCCAACTCGGTCCAACCAGTGCACTTCACCCATAAGCCACTGAGGCGTCCGCCTTTTCAGTCTTGTTGCTTCTGTGTGATTTGTGTTTACTCAGCTCAAAATCTCAGAGTTGAGGCGGACCGACTCATGGCGACCCTCCTTGGGTTGCCGAGGGGGTATCTCTACGGAAGTAGATTGCCCAGCCTTCCTTCCGAGGAGTGGCTGGTGGGTTTGAACCGCCAGCCTTCTGGTCACTAGTCAAGTGCCTTAGGCCCTGCGCCCCCAGAGCGCCTGCTTCGTGCTTCGTCGTTTCTTCCTCTCCGTCTTCCTCCTCATTCATCTGTTCCTCTGCTGTGTCTACTGTATCGGTTCCGTCCCGTCACCTTTCCGTTTCAGACATTACTTCTCGTCTCCAGCAGTTCCTTCTGGTTCTCTTTATATCTTCCATTTCTCCCCATTGTGTCCATGCTGTCATGAACCCTTGACACACCTTTATAATAGCCATATGCCGTTAGAAAGGCCTTGTCGGTCATCTCAGGGTCTGCGGTGCTGTGATAGTTACGT